GCCCGCTCGAGCCCAGCGCCGCGGCCCGGGTCCACACCGCCCCTGCGCTAGGTCGCGGCCCGCCTCCCGCACGCGGCGCCTCTGGAACCTTCGCGAGGCCGCCACCGCCCACCCCGTCGGCCCCGCCTACCGAGCCACCCAGCAACTCTCAACTATCGCGAGCGATGGGCAGTTCGGGAAGAGTAACTGTACGAATTACGCTTTGACTTCAGTTGCCCCAGCCACGCAGGCGCAGCTCGAAACCGGCGCCTTAAACCAACCCCGGAAGTGACGTCAGGCTTTCGGTCTTCAAGTCGGAAGTTTCCTAGAGTGTCAGCTGTTTCCGCTTCTCTAGGCTAGGAGGCCAGACAGCCATCTGAATAAAATTATTCCGTGAACCCCACGAGAAAGGACAGACGCGAGGGAAGAGGAAGGAGCAGCCTAGTTATATGAAAACGAGCAAGAACAGGCATATTAAGCGTGGAGGGTTACCGAAGAAAACAGGTTGACGGTCAGCGGTTTGAGCGCGCTGGAAACGTCATCGCGTTCTGGCATTTCCCACACAGTGGCGTCATTACGCTGCATTGGTCACGTGACGGGCCCCGAGGCTCCCCAGGTCGAGGCTGTGGCACAAGGGCGCCCCCTGCTGTGGCTGAGGCTTCTGTGCAGTGTTTTCGCATGTAGATGTTGAAGCACACGTTCCTGGTGCCTTCGCTTTCAGTGGCCATGCTGAAGTCTCTAGTGCTCAGCCAGGTGGGGGTTTGACAGGCCAAATGAGCCTGTTGGCCATCAGAGGAAATGTGGTGGCCCACTGTGTTGGGACTGTCCTTTGGTCCTTGCACCCCTATTCATCACATCCAGAGAACGACCCGTTTTCAGATTATCTTCGTCTCTGGCAGCCCCAAGATGCCCGCAACATAGCTGAAAACTATAACCCCCGAGAGGTCAAATTGTCTGCACTCAGCTTTATAGATTGCCCAAAGTAGCGATTAGAATCAGCAAGTCTGAGAAGGAAAACAGCTGCTAGGGAAGCTCTGGCCGAGCATTATTGTAAAGGGTCAGAAGGAGAGTCCAAAAACAAGGCAACTGTAACACAGCTTGCACGAGTTTTCATAAAAAAATGATGTTAAGAGAAAGAAGCCAGATACATAAGTGTTAATACTCTTTGGTTCCATTTACATAACGCCTAAAAGGCAGCAAAACTAGTCTGTGGTGTTAAAAATAAGGATAGTTTCCCTTGGGAGGGGAGGACAATGACCAAAAGGAGCCACCAGAGGGCTTTGAGTTCAGATAATGTGTTTCTTGATCTGGATTCTGGTGACAGGTGTGTTCACTCCGTAGACATTCCATGGAACTGTAAGCTTGTATTTGTGCAGTTTCCTTTGTAGGTTATACTAAATGAGTACCAGGAGGAAATTTTCTAAGTGATAGAGATCCACCAAATTGTAAAAGTGCATGAACCAAGAGCTGATTATTTTCTTGTATGTTAACTACACTTCTATTTTTTTTTTTTTTTTTTTTTTTTTTTTTTTTTTTCCCTTTTTTTTTTTATACTCTCTTTTTTTTTTTTTTTTTTTTTTTTTTTTTTTTTTTGTCTTTCACACAGAGGGTATTTTTGGCAGAGTCTCAGTCTGATCCTCCTGTCCCTGCCCCTGGGTTAGCCAGGATTTCAGACGAACACTATTGCAGGTGCCCCTGTCTTAGGTGGGTCTGGAAACATTTCCTAAGTGTCCAGCCAGTAGTTTGGAATTACTAAATAGGAACAAATGTCCCATTTCCCTGGATGAAAGGTTGACCTAATGTAGTGACTGGTCGCTGCTTCTTTTAATTGCTCAGGCAGTGGGAACATGTTTGAATGTTCAATCCCAAATCATCCTATCCTATGGCAAGTCTTATTGACTTAATCTTCAAAAATCTGTTGAGAAATCCCTCCTTACAACCTCCACCGCCACCAGTCTCAGGATACACTAACCCCAAATCAGGTACCTTGCCATGTTGAATGTTTCAAACTGAAATATTTTGAGAAATAGCAGGTGCAGGAATGTCTCTTTGGCCTACCCCTACCCTTGTACCATTAAGGAGGTCTTAAGAGCCTCATATGGGGGACCAGCAGATGGCATAAATGGTTACGCTGCTGGATTCCCACATGGCAGACCAAGGCTTGAGTCCTGCACCAGGCGAGTTGAAACTTGTGCCAGGCACATTACCATGCCTACCCAAAATCCCAAGAGGAGAACAGAAGAGAAGGGATTGCTGCATGACCATTGCTGCCTCCCCCCCCCGCCC